GGGTTGTGGCCGTGTGGGGACCCTGCCGCACGTGACTGTGCTGTTGCTGCTGCTCTCTGCCTCTCACCCTCTCTCTTCTCCTTTCTCTCCTTCCTCGCTGCCATTAGCTGGACCCCGCCGCCTCAGCCTCGGCACCCAGCCAGGTACTGTACCCCTGTCCTCAGGAGCCCTCTGCCTCCGCCGGTGACCCCCCGCCGTCCTCTGTCTGCCGCTGGGCTGGCGTCTGCGCCCGCGCCTCGTGCTGGAGCGTAAGGCTTTCCCCATCCCACCCTGCCCCGTGGGCTGCCGTGTCACCCACGGGGCCAGAGGGTGCCGGGGCGGCCAGGGCTGGGTGCCTCTCCCCAGCGGGGGGCTGTGCCGGGGGTCAGGGCATCCCAGGAGGGTGCTTTCGTTGGAGGTGGCATAGTAGGGGGTGGGCAGGGGTGCGGAGCAGGACGGAAAGGGGCAGAGCACGTGGCATAGGCAGGACACGTGGCTCCTGCCGAAGCAGCTGTGGCGTGCAGCACTGGCAGAGCTCACAGTGGTCAGCACAGTGGCCCCCAGCACGGGGGCTTTGGTGGCACAACCTCATGGCCAGAGTCCTTCCTGGCTCCGTGTGTCTCCAGCACCGCGCTGGACCTGCCTCTGTGCTGGCCGCAGCGGTGGCCGTGGCATTGAGAGTGCCCACAGGGTTTGGCACAGAGGCGCTTTGTCCCCGCTCGCTTCGCCGTGATGCTTTCTGTGCTGCCTGCGGGGCAGAGATTAAACCTTCTCGCCTTCACACCCTGTCTCTCGGCCTCGCCAGGGTCAAGTGGACGATGCCCCAGCAGCCCCCTTTGGCCCCGTCCCTGCTGCAGCTCAGGTTTGGCTTTGGGGCTCACCCTGCTCCCGGGTGGTGGGGACATCCCTGCTGTGCCAGCCCAGCATTTCCCACACTGTGGTACTCTGCCATCACTGTGCCATGTCCTGTGTCCCTCCGTTATGTCCCTGCAGCGTGTCCTGTGTTCCTACAGTGTGTGCCTGCCCCATGTCTCTGCAGCAGGTCCCCTGTGCTCACAGCATGCCTGGTGTCCCTGCATCCCGGCACGTGGCTGGCATGGGTGCCCGCTCCCCGGGCTGCAGTTTGGGAGCTCGGCGCCCCTCCAGGCTTGCCCAGGGTGGCCATGGTGGATGCACTCGTGGGCCGCTGTGACTTCATGTCTGCCCTGAGCTGTGGCAGGGCTCTGGTGCTCTCTGTAGCCCCGAGCCCACTGGGGTCCCTGCGGGCAGCGGGCAAGCTGGAGACACGTGCTGGGAGGGTTTGGGGCTTGTGGAGGGTAGCCGTGGCTGCCTGGCACATGGCCCCATGTCCAGGCAGCCCTGCTCCCTGCAGCCCCAGGGACGTGGGGAGCGAGCGAGATGGGGGGGGCGGGCAGGTGGCCACAGTCACCCCACATCCCGCTGTCCCAACAGGCCAAGACGGAGGAGCAGATAGCGGCTGAGGAGGCCTGGTACGAAACCGAGAAGGTGTGGCTGGTGCACAAGGATGGCTTCTCCTTGGGTGAGTCAGGGGTCAGCCCTGAGATACTGGGACACGGGGTGCCCCATCCTGCTGTGGCACAGCGAGCCCCCCCAGCCTGGCTGCAGGGTGGCACAGCCCCGCTGAGCACCCCGTGCCCCTCGCAGGCAGCCAGCTGCGGCCGGAGGAGGGCAGCCCCTTGCCCGAGGGCAAGGTGAAGGTGAAGCTGGACCACGACGGAGCCATCCTGGAGGTGGAGGAGGATGATGTGGAGAAGGTAGGGCCGCGGGGTGGGGGACGACAGGGCAGACCCCCATTCCCTGCCTGACGCCCCCACCCACCTTGCTGCCAGGCGAACCCCCCCTCCTGCGACCGCGTGGAGGACCTCGCCAGCCTCCTCTACCTCAACGAGTCCAGCGTGCTGCACACGCTGCGGCAGCGCTACGGCGGCAACCTCCTGCACACCTACGCTGGCCCCACCATGGTCATCATCAACCCGCTGAGCTCCCCCTCCATGTACTCTGAGAAGGTGACCCTGCTGCTGGGGGTGGGACGGGGGGAGCCATGCCACCGTGCAGAGGGGTGGCAGGGGGCTGACCCTCACCCGTTTTCCCCCCCATCCCCACCTTGCCAGGTCATGCACATGTTCAAGGGGTGCCGCAGGGAGGACACGTCCCCACACATCTATGCGGTGGCCCAGGCCGCCTACCGCAGCATGCTGATGAGCCGCCAGGACCAGGCCGTCGTGCTGCTGGGTGCCAGCGGCAGCGGCAAAACCACCAACTGCCAGCACCTCGTCCAGTACCTCTCCACCATTGCTGGCAGCACCGGAAAAGTCTTCTCCGGTGAGTCCCCGGTGGGGTGCGCCGTCCCCCGTGCCACCTGCGCACACCTTTTGCTTTGCGGTCACAGCCTCCCGCAGCCGGCAGTGGCCAGACACACGCCGCGCGCTTCCACGCCTCAGCTG